CCCCTAGCTGACACCACTGGCGGGACCCTGGCCCAGGACTCCATGGTTCTGAGGGGGAGGGTAAATCCCAGGACGCTGTGGCAGGCAGCCCTCCGAGCTCTGTGGAGATGAGACAACAGGATGGCTTTGGGTCCTAAGCTTATGAACACAAGCAAATTGGTGTTAAAACTTTGTGACACACACTTGCATTCCTTCCTCCATGCATTCAACATCCGCCTAAAACCTACTGTGTGCCAGGTACCGAGGACACCCCCACTGGGCTGAGTTCTGAGGGAGTGAACACCTCATTATTTTACTGTCCCTTCCCACAAAGGAGATGACAACCTTCTGCTTCTAAGAGAGTAGCGGCTCCTCCTGGGAGCTGTAGGGGAGCTCCCTGGGCGACTGGGGCGGGGGTGGTGCCAGCTCAGGCCCTGCTCCCTGCCAGTGCCCGCTCCCTCATGGCGCAGCCCCTCGGGGGAACGGCTGTGGATGAAGTGCCCAAAGCTGGCACAGAAGCAGAGGAGCTGGTAGCTTCGAGGGACTACGTGGCTCAGATACTGAGCACCTCAGTGGAGTCTAGTGTGGATTTGAGTGTTTGCCCCAAACCTTCTGGAATGTGAAAGTCTCTCTCTCGGGAGCTTTGCACAAGAGGCAAAGGGCAGATTCCAGTATGACCAAGATTGGTTTTATTTTGGTAGCCCAATAGGATAGGGGCTTTCCGACAGGACTGGCTGAATTCAGAAGAGTTACGTGACACTTTCTGCATAAAGTTCATACACGTGATTTGAAGCTGGACAGAACGCTGCCCTGGCTCTCCAGGGACTTGCAGTCTGATGGAAAACTTCCCCTGCCCAATATTGTTTCTTGAGAACATTCGGAAGAATTCTGATTGCTTCTGGGCCTTTTGGCTAAGCTTGAGTGTAGTATCTGAGCAATTCTGTACCATTGTGATCCTTTATTTGATTTGATCCCTGTAACTTCATAAAGCAGCTACAGTCCATTTGGCAGATAGGAAAACAACTCAGAGTGGCCCAGTGACTTGCTCATGGCCTGAAAGCATCAGATGCAGCCGGAATATAGGACTTCTGACTCCAAGCCTCCTTCTTTCTACCGCACCACGCAGCCCTGCTGATAGCTCACAAGGGATGAGGACACTCTGGTTAGGCAAAGCGAGCTGACTGCCGTCCTACCAGGAGGACGCTGTGACTTGGAGCAAAGTACTTCATCTCTTGGGCTTGTTTCCTTAGCTGTAAAAGGAACACACCTCAGAAAGTGAACAGAGTTTTATTTGTGTGTGTGAGCTGGAGGTATGTAGTAACCAGAGTGCCGGGCATACATCTTGTGGGTTGACTCACTACAACACATCGCCACAGACATCAGAGAGCTTCAGGGATGTTCCTGAAGTGATGACAGGTTGCAAGCTGTTTAGGAAGATAAACGAGGCAGCTCTGTGCAGGGTGGGTCAACAGGGACTAGACAGAAGGCGGGCACAAGCACGGAGGTGGCTGCTACACAGGTCATGAACCACCTGCCACAGCTTGGAGGACATGCAACGTGGGAAGGGAAGGGAAATACAGAAGACTGAGGGCCTACTCCAGAGAGAGACACTCAAAGTGCTATATTCATTTAGTAATAACTTGTCACTTTCAGGTAGATGATCGGGTTTAAGCCAAATCTTTTTTTTTTTTTTTTTTTTGAGACCGAGTCTCGATTTGTTGCCCAGGCTAGAGTGAGTGCCGTGGCGTCAGCCTAGCTCACAGCAACCTCAAACTCCTGGGCTCCAGCGATCCTCCTGCCTCAGCCTCCCAAGTAGCTGGGACTACAGGCATGCACCACCATGCCCGGCTGATTTTTTGTATATATTTTTAGTTGGCCAATTAATTTCTTTCTATTTATAGTAGAGGCGGGGTCTCGCTCTTGCTCAGGCTGGTTTCGAACTCCTGAACTCGAGCAATCCGCCCGCCTCAGCCTCCCAGAGTGCTAGGACTACAGGCGTGAGCCACCGTCCCCGGCCTACGCCAAACCTTTTTGACACTGAGTCACAATTAACTACTAACCATATGTGCCTGCTGCCCCCCCGAACTGTAAGCAATTTCAGTAAAAGACTAGATGTTTGAAAATATCTAAAAGAAATATACTAGGTAAGAAAAAATGGCTGCTTCTGAAAAGGTTTTTCTCTCAAAGAAGGGAAGCTGAATACCCATCAGGATAACAGGTTGAAGAACAATTGTAGGAGGTTGAGAAGAGCATCATCAAGTGATCTCTGGTATTTCTCTAAGCAGAAAGTTACAGACTTTCCAGCACCCAATTGCTTTAGCTTTTAAGTGTCTTCAGACGGTTAATAATAAAAAAAAGAGCTTTGCCAGCTGAGCAGCTCTGCCGAGGTGGGAAATCTTAGCCAAGCTGAGTGGAAATCATCAGGCTAAAGTGCATTCTTTTCTGTTCCAACCCAGCCACGCAAATCTCGGTCTTCAGAAGGAGGAAGATGCTTGTTTTTCTGATGGCTTTTGCTTTAGAGAAATAGGAGACGATGTCCTGGAAGCAAACATCTTCAGTGAGATCCTGCAGCCACCCGTTTGTTTATTTCTAGGCATGTCTGTTACCAGGGGATGGTGTGTCAGGGCAGAGCCTCAGTTCCTGCAGTGAAAGGGCAGATCAGACAGGAGTGGCAGCTGTCAAAGCCATTCCACTTGGAAAGGAGAGGCACCGGTGCCTTAGTTGGGATGGCACTGAGGATTTGTTGTGAGGTGCTTTGTCAGGTTTGGCCTTGGCACTCTCTAGAAAGAACTCTGAGGTTCTAAACTAGAGGGTGTGAAGAGTTGGGCAGGAAGTTTGGTCCAAATTAAAGCCACTTAACATTCCCTAAGACTTCAATGCATTAGTCCATTAGTTCTCAGAAAGGAACAGAACTTACAAACTGGAGACCTCTTTATTAAGCACTTGGCTAATAGCATTCCTTGAAAATAATCAAGCCACAAGGCTTTAAATGATTCTAAATATATCACCTTTTAAATCGGGTGAAATTAATGATTTTTATCTTACAGCTTGTCTCCTAATCCTGCAACATGAATTAAAATATATTTTGTGAGGCCGGGCGCGGTGGCTCATGCCTGTAATCCTAGCACTCTGGGAGGCCGAGGTAGGTGGATTGCTTGAGTTCAGGAGTTCGAGACCAGCCTGAGCAAGAGCGAGACCCCGTCTCTACTAAAAATAGGAACAAATTAATTGGCCAACTAAAAATATATAGAAAAAATTAGCTGGGCATGGTGGTGCATGCTTGTAGTCCCAGCAACTTGGGAGGCTGAGGCAGAAGGATCGCTTGAACCCAGGAGTTTGAGGTTGCTGTGAGCTAGGCTGATGCCATGGCACTCTACCCCAGGCAACAGTGAGACTGTCTCAAAAAAAAAAAAAAAAAATATATATATATATATATATATATATATGTAGTGGAACTAGCACAATATTTGGCATCAAAGAGCCCTCAGGATTCAAGTGCTTACTTTATCATTCACCCTATAATTTTAAGCAAGTTTCTTAATCCCTCTGGTCTTATTTCCTTATTTGTGAGATAGGAGGGCTACCTCATTGAGTGGTGTTGGCTTTTATTTATGTCCATTTGGGTATGTGCACACAATACATGGCTGGGCACATGGGTAGCCAGAAAAAGGTCAGGAGCCTCAAGGAAGAGGTGGCACCTTAGAAGCCACGTTGGTGGCAGTGACGGAAAAGCTGGGGTGCTGAGAAAGGGAGAACAGCATGGTTAGATAAAAAGGATGAGGCCAGGCGCGGTGGCTCATGCCTGTAATCCTAGCACTCTGGGAGGCCGAGGCGGGCGGATTGCTCAAGTTTGAAACCAGCCTGAGTAAGAGTGAGACCTCGTCTCTACTATAAATAGAAAGAAATTAGTTGGCCAACTAATATATATAGAAAAAAATTAGCCGGGCATGGTGGCACATGCCTGTACTCCAGCTACCGCTACTCGGAGGCTGAGGCAGTAGGATTGCTTGAGCCCAGGAGTTTGAGGTTGCTGTGAGCTAGGCTGACGCCACGGCACTCACTCTAGCCTGGGCAACAAAGCGAGACTCTGTCTCAAAAAAAAAAAAAAAAAAAAAAAAAAAAAGGATGAAGAGGGAGCGACTGCTCCTGGGCACAGGGTTTCCTTTTGGATGATGAAAATGTTCTGAAGTTAGACGGTACGAAAGCCCATGCTTCAAAAGGGTAAATCTTATGGTACTTGAATTATATTTCAACTACACTGTTATTTTTTTTTTTTTTTTTTTTGAGACAGAGTCTCGCTTTGTTGTCCAGGCTAGAGTGAGTGCCGTGGCGTCAGCCTAGCTCACAGCAACCTCAAACTCCTGGGCTTGAGTGATCCTTCTGCCTCAGCCTCCCAAGTAGCTGGGACTACAGGCACGCGCCACCATGCCCGGCTAATTTTTTATATATATATCAGTTGGCCAATTAATTTCTTTCTATTTATAGTAGAGACGGGGTCTCGCTCTTGCTCAGGCTGGTTTTGAACTCCTGACCTTGAGCAATCCGCCCGCCTCGGCCTCCCAAGAGCTAGGATTACAGGCGTGAGCCACAGCGCCCGGCCTACACTGTTATTTTTTAAAAGGATGTAGAAAACATAAAGAATACCTGAGAGGTAATGGGAAATGAGGTATTTCCAGTCTCTGGCAGGGTGGAGAATCAAGTTCTGACTTATAGGATAAAAAGTCACTAGGCAGGATGACAATCTGTTTTTCTGGCTAAAAAATTCTACAATTTTAGATTTCCATCATACCTCCTGAAGTTTCACGTTGGTAAGATTCTCCTTCACTTCTTGGGCTAAAATGTTAGTGGATCGTTCACAAGATATTTTTTTGAACTACATGTGACAGCTTTTCTGCACCTGTATTGTTTCACCCTGGGTTTTAGGAGATCATGAAAAATACTTGCCAACACCAAAGATTTCATAATCACTAGTCCCAAACTACCCTGGTGGTTACTGTTTCAATACAAATCATAGGCACAACCATTTAGATTTCTAATTTATTATTAAATTACATAACAAAGCTTCTTCTATACAGTCAGAAAATGCACATTTAGATGAGAACAAAAATTAAGTACAAATACAACAAAATTGGTTCCAAGAAGCGATTTTAAAAGCAAAAAATTAGAAAGTGCATTTGGAAAAGAATCATTTTTAAAAAATCTGTATTGGCATTTTTCACGAGGAAACATCTTCCATCATAATAAAGTGTGACTAAAATCGATTTCCCTTCCTCTGTAAGAGCCAACAAGGCAGGAATGGATGCAAATACTTTGATACTAAAGGGAGATCTTAGGCACAGAGAAAATGAGAAAGACCCTTTAAGACCATGGCTCAGCTTCATTTCAGCTTCTTATCCAATAAACATCCTTAAAATTCACTTGTTCCTCCTTCATTTTCTTTTTGCCTATAAAACTTAAGGGTATGCAGGTTTATAAAGGAATAAACAAGATTAGTTTATTCAGACCATGGTGAAAAGTTATGCATTTTTTTGGAGACCAGGCTAAACAACCCCTAACCTAAAAGGAGAATGTAACACAATCATTGTAATTTTCTGAGTAGAATCCATTTGTTCTTTAGTTATATTTGCCACAAAATTCAGTGTAACACTTGACATGGTCATTTATTCCCAATAGCTTAATATTACAAGTTAGAAAATTCAGTCAACCAATTTCCAAAAATCCTATTTCACTAATGATCAAACACGAGGTATTAAAAACCAAAAGGCTAGTCCAGTTCTTCAAAGTCATTTTCATCAGGTTGAGATCATTAACATTTGAACAGAAAATTAATGGTGGGAATGCAACTCCAAGGTGCCTCAATTGCGACAGAGGCCAAGAACCACTGCATCACATCAAGAGGCTCAATAAGTATTTTTCTCCTCAGATGTATTCACAACTAGTATGAAAGAACTAAAGTAAAAATTATTTGGTTCCAGGTATAAAAAGTGCCCCCATGATGTCTCCTCTCATTACCTGCCTGCATTCTTAGGCGTTTACTCCCATGCCCAGTCTGAGTACCAGGCAGCACAGAAAAAGGCAGAGGAATAGTGGAAAAGGAAAGCCCTTTTCTAACACAAGAAAAATAAAAGTGAGCAATGCGGGTCCTTCAGCATCACCAACGAAAATGAAAAGAATGCAGAGATTGCCAGGGTGGATACATTGAAGCACCTGAACATGTGAGCTTGAACTTGAGTAATAGATTTGTTAAATATTTTTACTAAAGTCATCAATACACATTAAAACATAATATCAGAAATATACCTTTTGGAATTTTCTGCCCTTTCTGTTGCCATGGTTTTTCACATTTTTTAGTGGAGTTTTGAGCAGATACTCAAAAGATCCAAAAAGGAAAGATTCCTTACTTAAGACAATGGCTGAAGGAGCATAACTTCTCCTAAGAGGCAATATTTATTTGGAACCAGTAGAAAATTCCTTCCGACTTCCCGGCTCTGACGGGAACAAGTAGCTAAGTGTTAGCCCCTAAGCCTAGCAACTAGTCTGTAAAGAGGACAGCAAAAAAGGGAGCATACCAAGATGGCTGAACAAAAAGGTAAATGGCATGAAACTGAAAGAGTCCAAATCAGCTATCACAGCATCCAAACTGAGCCCCTTCCTGTAAACACCACACCTCTACTTCCTTGCTCAAGCTTGCTTTCTGCCAATGAAGGAACCACAGAGGAAAGTAAGAGCACTGTCCTCACTGGCTCCATTTGGCCCTGGGTCACCTCACTATGGGCTACAGCACTGGGAGGTTAGTCAGACCTCTCTGACACCAACGTCTACACCATGCTTTTTCAACTTCCTCGGAAGAACTGGTTTCTTTATTTTCATAAGGAAAATAACCAACATAATCCTACTACTTCATCTAAGCATAACCCTAATGGAAAGGCTCACCAGCCATCAAAGTGGTCTGCTTGCTTAGCTGCAGCAAGCTAGATTAGCTTGTGTCCTAGTTTTATTCTCACACAATTAGTTATAATGAATGCACCAAATAATCAGACCAGTAAAAAAGACTGGTAGAATAATTAAATAAATAACTTTATTTATGATACTTCAGATTTTATAAATGCCAACTATATAGCTTCCAAAGTCCCATAAATTCTAGCCGAGACATAACCACCAATCAAGGCCCTTTGAAAAATCAAAGATAATAAAGTATCAGGGGAGAGTTTTGTTCTCCCAACAGAGAATTTAATCAATGAACTTACTTCCCTGATCCTTTAAGGTTCACACTGGGAAAACATAACTTTCTTTTAAGGGCATCCCCAGTCAATGAACTGATCAATCAACCCATACTTAGAAAAATAAACCCCATAGTTAAGAAAAATATATCAAATGCCCTTCATACCTAGAATGTAATGAAACTTTTGACCACCAGAATGAAAAACCTCTCAGTCTCTGTACCAGACTGGGTGTTATTCTACCCGTTAGCCTGTAAATCAAGTTCACTGGAATAACTGCATCTATACACCATGATGTAGTCAAGAACTAAATGCTAATATTTTTATTCCTAGTGGCACAGTTTAAAGCCAATACTATAAATATCGTAGTAAATTCCAATGGTGAAGAGCAGTCTTTTTTGGTGAGAAGTGTAGATGTCGGAAGTCTTTGAACTATGTGGTAGTTCAGTAAGACAAGTAATGAATTTACAGAAACTGAGAAATGGTTAAACTTGAAAAGAATTCTGGTGGGTTGTTTAAAATTTTGTCACTGTCCAGAGATGGTAATAGAAGACAGGTGCAGACAGAGATAGATTCTGCTACATGCACCTTCAACAGTGAAACCACTCTCTGGATGTTTGGAAAAGCTTAACAGATTTGGAATGAACATATTTTCACAGAACACAGGATTCCTGGTACATCAGGCAATAGTTCTTAAACTTTTTTATAAGTTATGGAGCACTTACAAACGGAATTATCTGGATAGTGACCCCTCAATACCTTTTTACATCTTGCTGGTTTCAATGAAATCTTTCACTGAAAACCAAGCAGTCCCCTCACTCAGTTACCGGTGTTAATCTTGACATGATGCGGAATAGCTGAGGGCGTTGGCAGACACTGGCTATTAGTTTCCTTTGTCATGGTAGAACTAAGATTTCATTTTCTTGTAGTAGTGAATATTAATCCAGTGGGAGAAGTAAACAAAAAAAATCATAACAATGACTGGTTCCTTAAAAAATAGCCTATCATCCTTGATGTTTTTCCAGCAATACAGTTAACCACAATGTGCTCACAATTAAAAAAAAAAAAAAAAAAAAGACAAACGCTATTTTGCAGTGTTCTCCATTTCAGACAACCTCAAACATGCTGAAGTTGGCCTATCAGCATCTCAAAGAATCTATGAAAAAACGGAATTTTCCTTGAATACCAAAGGAATTGAGGGCACAAAGTAGAAATCTATAGCACAGATTATCAAGAAAGGACTTGTGATTTCTCTTCATGAATGTCAAATAAGAGGACAAGAATTATTTTTGCTCACAACCCAATATGGTGGCTAAAAGAAAAGCAGTCTTTGGATACAGAGAAACCTGGTTTTCAGGAGGGTCCAACTGCAAGACCTGGCTTATCATCAGGCTTCCACACTACTACTGAAACACAGAAACTCTGTTTTTGATTGGTTTACTTACCTCCTAGGGAGACAAAAGCAACCGGAACCCCCCTTTATTTTCTTTTTAAACTAAAATCAGAAAAATGTGTGTTAGAAAAGATAGCACAGGAAAACTGTGGCTTCAGCTCAACCTGACCATGTCACAGAGTCCATCGCTATCAGTCTTGAATGCGTCCTGCTGGTCAGGCTAATTATCAGGACAGTCAACTTCTCCCTCCTACATTTCCTTATTCCAGATCAGGGCATGAACGTGGCGGCTGTCAAGAGTCCCTGGAGATGTCCCATCAATGGAAAGCGTACAGCAGCAGCAGGATGGTGCAGATGCCAATAACACCGCCAAGGATGAGCGAGTCTCGCCGTTTCCTCAGGTTGATCCTCTGGATCAGGCTGTTCACAGCAGGAAAACGATCTTTGGGAAATCTTTATTAAGGTCATATTTGGAAGAAGCCTATTTAGTGAAAAGTCACAGGAATCACAAAAATAGAGATCAGTGGTGTCCAGAAACAGGGAGTGAGGAGAAGACAGAGAGGGGAAGAAAATGACATTGAGGGAGTCTTTAGCAGACGCATGTGCCAAAACTGGGAATGCCTGCTGCTCAAGGTCCCAGTCTTGTGTATAGTACAAAAATGAGAATGAAAAGAAAAATAATTAATAGAGAAGGAAAATAAGATAATAATGATAGCTCCCACATATAGAGGGATTACTGCCAGGCTTCAGGTCAGGATGGGAGCCAGTGTGGTCAACTTGGTCAGGAACACAACTCTGCAGGTAGGGTGGCACAGGCACAGCCAGCCACCACCGCCCCATTCCACTGCCCTCCCTTTCCTTTTTCCTCTCTCTCCTTTCTCTCTCCTCTCTTTCTCTAAGGAGACTGGGCAGTTTTGCCTAAGGGTTTTGAAGAAATACCCGATCCTCTCCCCACAGGGTAACACCTGCTCTACCCCTCAGCTCCTTATTCAGATAATTGGTGGGAATCAACTCTAGGGTCTGTATAATCAGGCACTAGTAAATTGCACAACTTTTAAAATTGACTTTGCAGCAGTAGGCAGGATATAGCAGGAAAGTGGACTCAACTGCTCTAACTGTCCTGCTTGGAGAATATCAAAAAGGAAAGACAGGAAATTTTTGATTTTAGGGGTCACAACTGTATTTTATAGCAGTCACAACTCTATTTTACTTAGTATTTCAAAGTATTTTCACACTCTTGGTTTGTATGCTGCAGACCAAAGTACCTACGTTGTTTTGTATTTCTGGCAATGGCTTCTGACATGTGCATCCTCTGTTAATAGAGGTATTAGATCAAATTCAGGAAAACCAAAGAAAAAAGCACCCAGGACACTAGAGAGCTGGAATAATCCCCATTCCTTGTGAATCCTCATTGCATTTTTCCCTAACACAATTACTCTCACCAGGGACTATATTCATTTGTGTATTCTTATATATAATCTACAAATATTAGAACCATGTTATCTTCTAACCTTGAATTTCTCTCTATGACTAGAAAAGAGCTTTATACATTGTGTTAGTGTGTTTTTTGAATGTTTGGAAGGCAGCTATGCTCACCACTATACCACCAACGCCGCTCTGAATGTTTGAATTAAAATCAGTGAAAAAGAGAACAATTTGCAGAAACAGTTTTAAAAATATAAACTAGGACGCATGTATTGAAGTAATGGACAAAAACTTTTAAAGTAAAAATCTCATTTAGAGAAAATGCTTACTCTTTTCTTGCTTAGTAAATGGATAAACAAATCTACTGAGAATATGTACATTTTTGGCATAGACTATGGTAGACATATTTTTGTCCAGTTTCCCTTTAGGAGTCACCCTTCTCCCCTTCTATAATAATCTAGCTCATTCCATGTAATAGGGTAGGGCTGACCTCACCCTCTGCCATCAGGTATACACACAAACTCAGGATTGGCCAGTAAGCATATTCCATCCCCTTAACCAGTGACTGGGTTAGGAATAGGTAGTACCTCAAGCTGGGGCTGCTACAGTCCTCTTTGGGACCCTTGAGACAGCTGTTAGAAAAATCATCTTTTTTCCATGGGGATTTCTGAGCTGGTGTTTAGCCACCTCTATCACCATGAGGAGAACATCTGTCTGGGAATGAGGTGAATACAGAGAAAAGCTAAGAAGAGATGGGAAAGGGAGCGGGGAAAAGAGAGAGAAAAGGCAGATTCTTGATGACAAAATCTGAGGCCCTGAATCCAGCCATGCAGTAAGCCAAACTCTATCTTTGGATTTTACAGTTATGTTAACAAATTAATTCCTTCCTTTTCTCCCTTAAGTCAGTCTGACTCAGCTTTCTGTTACTACCTCTCTATGGAGTCCTGACTAATTCACTCATTTTGTTTGACTTTTTGTGAACACACATTCTTTTGGAGTAACTGTTAAATTCCTGAATGGCTAATTTGTACCACGCACTGTGCTGGGTTCTGGGATGCTGCTATGCCTGAAGAGAATGTAGGGGCTAGTATGGGAGAAATAAGTACACAGCAGGGAAAAGGGCATGAAAAAGAAGGGTGACAAATTCTAATGGATAGTTGAGAAAGGCTTCAGTCAGTATTTTCCACTTCTGTTTCAAGGTTTCAAAGGTTTTGCTAAATATACTCTTTTATATTCACTAAGTAGCCTTTGCTCTTGCTGGTAACCAAATTCATGTTAATAGATTAAGAAAGACAGAATGATTCAGTGGAAAAAGCAATGGGAACTTAAAATTTAGATCTCTAAATTGCTATTGACTAGCTGTGGACTTGGGCCAAGCTACTTCTCTGGGCCCAATTCTTCATCTTTAAAACAATAATAATTTCTACATTCTACATTCTCTTTTTTTGTGGTAATGATGAGATAATGTATATAATGTACTCTGTAAACTTTATAGCCCTATATAAAATATAAGTAATTTTGGATGTGTGTGGTTTTATACTTAGGGTGACAAGCAAGAATAAAATTCACAACAGACTGGAAAATACCAACAAATGTCAGAATATTCTTTTCCTGAGGTAAATATACATCAAACTAAAAGTTACCTTAAATCATCCAGGAGCACAAGACACTCAACTTTTGAAAATTATAGGGCCTTCCTCCCTTAGCTGGAAAAGAAAGTTTTTTCACTAAAAGGCTTGTCTTCTCAGAGAATAAATAAAATGCTTCAGAATGACAGGCTTATCAATTTCTCTGGTGGGTTTCTTGGAAGTATTAGTAATCCTAATTGGGAAAATAAAAAATTAAAAAGTAGAGGCCACAACAAACAAGTAGAGAATTTATCCTAGAATTCAGCCTGTGCATGAGGAGTCACAATACTCTATCAGCAACTGCAACTCATCCATATACATGGCTGTCTCCCTCCTTCCCCCTTCAAAGCAGCTGCCACTAATTTACTCTCCAAACTGAAAAAATAAAAAAGCATGTAATTCATGATATTTAGGTAAAAACAATGAATACTGTGGAGTTCTAACATGAATTCAAGAACATTTAAATATGTAAAATAATTTTGTGAATTCACATTTGTAATTTTTTTCTAAATCTACTGGTATTAAACCTCTGATGTGCAATCTTTAAGAAATGGAACTAAACAGCATGAACTTTCACAAAGTAGGAATGCATGGTATATTCACATTATGTAATTACTGATGGGCTCTATTCTAGTTATGATGGCAACCCGCCAAAAAAAAAGCACACATATACATACTGCTTCCCTTCCCAAAACACAGATTTTGAACATTCAAAAAGGATACTGGCCAAAGTATTCATTTTGCTATGAATTGACTTCAACATTCCTCTCTGTGAAGTCATATTTTCTTTTGTTGCCATAGCAATGCTGCAAGGGGGAAAGAGACATGACAATTAAATTGGCATTTAAGATTACCTGCATAGATCTAGTCTACCTTTAAAAATGGACCGAAAACAACAATGAGCAACATCATCTTAAAAAGCACTGGGCAGGAAAATAAGAGGAAAAAATCACTTCCCAAGCCACTTTCCCATTATCCTTTTCCTGAATGACCCCACTACTATTCTCTGCTGTCTTTTTGAAGAAGGCAGTAAGCTATGTCCTATGTTTTCTACAAAATAACAAATGAAATAAGACATTGACAAATCACTTATTACAAAAGCTTCCTAAAATGATTTTAGAATGGATTAGCTACTATAACAAAGTATTCTTAATCAGGAAAAACGGTTGAGAGGGAAGCAGGGAATTACAATAATAAAAATAGAAATATAAAATATCATAAAATATTCATATACAACCAACCCTCGATTTATGAAGAGATATGTCTTCAAAGTCTACTTGAGAACCAACTAGGCAGATTTTGGGACATACATGCAAAGGTTTAAACAAAGGTCACAGATTCATTCAACATGACTGACAGAAGGGAAAAAGCCATTCTTTGTAGAATATAACTCTTCCATGTGACTACTTTGATGTCTTGTTTTAAAAAATCTGAGTAAATATCTTTTTGTTATCATTTCCAAGATTATTCATTTTCCATAGTATTATCTCACTGGACATTAGAATCCTAGAGGGCAGGGTCAGCATCCACTTTGAAATGCAATATACAGAGGAGTGCTTTAGATATTGACATGATAAAAAGCAACAGGAAATGGAATGCTATTGAGTAATTCTGAAAATATCGAAAACATTTTTTTAAAAAAAAGCAATGGAGATTGAGATTCTGGGAAGATGGTGGTCAGAGTACAAATTCCTGACCTCATCTTTGGCCCATTATTTTCTTCCATGGAGTGATACAAGAACAAAAGCAGACATGCTGGAGAGGGTTCATGTCAGGCCCAAGTTGCTTTGAGAACTCCAGGAAAGAAAGCCAGGTAGACTTTCTCAAGTGAGGAGAGAACCAGGGAACTGATGGCAGGCAGGGAAGCCTAGATTTTTCTTCAAGCTTAGAGCAAAGCCCTAGGGTTTCATTGATTCCTTAGGGGCCCAGATAGTGGAACACTATGGATCTGCATGTACATGGTCTGCATGATGGATTGAACTGCTCCCAGTCCCTGCAGCTGGGAAGAGATTGCTACACATACACACCCAAAAAGACCTACAAGCACGGAGCTTATTGTCTAGCAGTTGGAGTGATAACCAACCCCTAAAGGGCAAAGCCACGCTTAAGAGTCTCTAGTAGCCTGATCTATCTGGGACCTGAGTGAACCCATTTCTGGATAGGTAAGGCCTCAGAAAGTAAACCCCCATGTACCTTACTGAGGAGAAATGCTAGAGGAAGTAATCTAAGCTAATGACAAATGAATCGAAACTTTAATTTCAAGATTTGAGAAGTCAAAAAAGAAACAAAAGTATATAAGAGGAGATATATACAGAAATATACAAGTACTGAGTATCCCTAATCCAAAAATTGTAAATCCAAAACACTTCTGTCTCAAACATTTCAGATAAGAGATATTTTATCTGTAAAAGGATATTAATGAAGCATTTTTTTGGAATAGTAAAAACCAACAATAAAGAACGCCCCCCCCCAAAAAAAAGCCCTGGAAACAATATTTGAATTGCATAATAGATTATGGTATATTCATATTATGAACTAGTATTTGGTTATTAAAAAGAATGAGTTAGTACTATTTCTAATATCCTGAAGGGATGTTTATGATATGTTTATGTTATATTGAGTGATTAAAGCAAGCCATGGAATGTACGGAATATGAATCCTCTTACATTTTCAGGAACAAACATCTTTGTGTATGATTATATGACAGTGAGAAAGCTATCAGAGACACAACTGTCAGTTAATATAAATTACTTTAGGGGATAAACGATGGAAGGCACCTACCAGGAGATTAACTTTTTCTTTATATATTTTAGTATTATTTAAGTTGTTATAATAAGAACACTATACTTTTATATCAATGTCTAATAAAGTAAATTGAAAAAAGTTAGAAAAATTCTACTTGAGTGATTAAGAAATGTTAATAACATTAGCTGCTCCACACACAAAAGAATTAATATGGACATGCTAGAATTTGGATCACTTTCTTTTTTTTTTTTTTTTTTGAGACAGAGTCTAGCTTTGTTGCCTAGGCTAGAGTGAGTGCCGTGGCGTCAGCCTAGCTCACAGCAACCTCAAACTCCTGGGCTCAACCAATCCTTCTGCCTCAGCCTCCCAAGTAGCTGGGACTACAGGGATGCGCCACCATGCCCGGCTAATTTTTTGTGTATATATTAGTTGGCCAATTACTTTCTTTCTATTTATAGTAGGGACAGGGTCTCGCTGTTGCTCAGGCTGGTTTCGAACTCCGGACCTTGAGCAATCCGCCCGCCTCGGCCTCCCAGCTAGGATTACAGGCGTGAGCCACCGCGCCGGGCCTGGATCACTTTCAATTGAAGTTATAGGCAGTCTGGAAATTTAGAAAATGACAAGTTCTAGAGATTATTACATTGGGAAACTGAACCCTCTTCTTGGGGTCCTAATATTCCCATGTGTTCCAATACTGATAACCCAATCTTCCTAATACTTTTAGGACTAGTCTAGAATAATATCTGTTCTTGCAGAAATTTTAAGGTCTGCCATTTTTGATGACCATCCCAATTCCACCTTTTAGTAAGTTGGCATGAAATTTTTATAAAATCTGAAAGTGACATTTCAGAATAAAGAAATGTAATTGGGTAAAACCAAAGCAAGCAAGCAAGCAAGCAACCAACTAACCAACAACAACAACAAAAAAACCATATTAGCATGGGAGATTTGTGGAAATTTATATAAGGAGTTGCAGACCTCTAAATTGCCTTCCCTAACTCCTGCAACCAAGTGATTGCCCCCAGGCCAGCAGAAGACCTAGCCCAGAAGAAGAGACCTAGAGATACTGACAATTTGAAATCCCCAATGAAACAGCCAGGTCTCTGCCTGAGCATGCATTCTGAAGATGACTACTCAGTAAGTCCTACCACCCATGCACAGAGAATGAGCTTCCACTCACTAGATTTTGGAGCCACACCAATAAATATGAACAAATAGCCAGAAATCACCAGACGTGTGAGGAACACCTTTAACATAAAAAGCAGAGAGCCAAACGAACCAACCAGCAAACAGAAAAGCAAGTCTGAGGAAATAGAGGCAATAAAGGAAGCCTAAGAAACTCTAAAATTATATGTAATGTCTTCAGAGAGATAAAAGAAGATTATCAGATCCAAGAAATATACACATATAAAGATGTATGTGTGTCTGTCCCTCAGGAAAGAGTTCATGTAAATTTAAAAAAGAAGAGCAGAAATAAAAATGTAATGGAAAGTTGGAAGGAGAAATTGAGTCAATCTCCCAGAAAATTAAACAAAAAGATAAATGGAAACAGAGAAAAGGTAAAAAAGGGTCAATTCAGAAGGCCCAACATACAACAACCTTTTTAAATTTTTAAAAAGAAACAACAGAAGAAAAGGAGGGAAGAAAATGATAAATACCATAAGAAAATCCCAGACCTGAAGATGAGTTTCCAGAGTTTTCACATCATTAGAATTCACTTGATGCCTAGTGTAATGGATTGAAAAAGATGCATGCTGATCTCATCATGGTGAAATCGAAATTAAAAATAAAAAAAACAGGGAAAAGGGATGATCCTAGAAGCTTTCGGAGAAAAAAGCATATCATATACAAAGGATCAGAAATTTAAATTGGCATTGTACTTTGATAGCAATACTGAAAACAATGCTTTCAAATATTTCAAAATTATTTCCAACCTAGAATTCTATGTCATAGCTAAACAATGAAGAATACGGATAGAATAAAGACTTTTTAGATATGAACAGTCCAAAAAATGTATCATCCTATTCATTCTAAGGAAGCTACTAAAGAACATGGTTCAGCATAATGAGGGAATAATCTAAGAAAGTAGAAGACATTAAACCCAAGAAATAGGTGATCTAATAAAGGAGATTATTTTAGGATAATGGAGAAAAAAACATTCCAGGACCACAACAACGTGGAAGGCTGAGAGAACAACCAGTCAAGATTAGAGCAGGAGGGGGCAATGTCAACTCTATAATACATTGGATTTTAGATCCCCAAACCAAAAAGGACACAAGAAGAGTCAAACTTAAAAACGTCCTTTGCATCATTTAGTTCTTATAATTTTTCAGTTTAAGTAAGTATTCACTATGACAGAATATGACACATTTAAAATGTGATTGTTTTTTAAAAATTTTATGTTACAAGATATTTAAAAGTAGGTATTATGGTCTTGTATAAAGTAAAAAAATTCAAACCTAGGCTGAGTAAGTTGAGGCCAATCTTTAAATCACATATGCCTCTTTTTAAAACTGGGACTATCACCATCTCTTATATACTTTGACTCACAAGGGGAAAGAGATTGAAAAATAATTTCTGCAAAGCACTTTGTATTCCTTGGAGAATGGATATTATCATCATACATTATGTTATTATCTTGTTGAATATGCATGATTTCCAGTACCACATAAAATATATCTAGACATACTTTCCCATCTCATTCCATCATTTAGAGTCAAGCTGAGTGAAATCTAGGCTGTTGTTATTTCAAAGGTCAAATACTCAGAGGCAAAATATAAGCTCCAAATTATATATAATGCTTTTAAAATGATAAATCATTGATGTACTTACTGGAACTTCAACTATCTTACCTGTTCTATAAACTAAACTCAGGCACATTTTTTTCTACAACAGATAATACTATTATAGTTATACATTTAAAGCTTAAGAATAAATTTATAAATACTAAAAATATTAGTTCTTTTCAATAAATTGATGTCAAAGTCTATATTCAACTGTTCACATATTTGAAAAATTTATCTCCAAAAAGAAGAAAAAAAATTTTTACATATCAAATATGTAATCATTATTTGACACTTAAATTTTATATTAACCATAAGAGATAATTAGCTTTATATTCAGTGAAATTTAACTTAGATACTTATATTTTAAAACAAAGAATAATATTGAAATAAAAGCCCTTCTAATAACATGTTTTTTAACTAGTAAAATAATAGTTGCAGTGATTCAATAGTTCAGAAATGTTCCTATCCCATGAGGTACCCCAAAGTTTTATACTCATATTACCAGCCTTTATATAGGCCAGCACTGAACTGAAAAGCTTAATTAAGGCAGCCTGATCCTAGAAGATCAGGCAGAAAGAGGAGGAAATAAAAGGGAGAAAAAAAAAGGGATTGTAGAGAAACTTTAAGAATCCCTCACAAAATGTGATCAGACTTCATGTGCTAATAAAAGGGAAGGATTTATATGGGAGATATTTCAGTCAATAATTAGGCAATGCTGTGAAAATTTTGTTCAGATAGATGATGCAGTACATGCAAGTTAAACAAAAATTCAAGACATGATAATGGCAAATTATTATAAAAAATTATAAAATATTGGCCGGGCGCGGTGGCTCACGCCTGTAATCCTAGCTCTCTGGGAGGCCGAGGTGGGCGGATTGCTCGAGGTCAGGAGTTCGAAACCAGCCTGAGCAAGAGCGAGACCCCGTCTCTACTATAAATAGAAAGAAATTAATTGGCCAACTAATATATATATATAAAAAAAATTAGCTGGGCATAGTGGTGCATGCCTGTAGTCCCAGCTACTCGGGCGGCTGAGGCAGAAGGATTGCTTGAGCCCAGGAGTTTGAGGTTGCTGTGAGCTAGGCTGACGCCATGGCACTCACTCTAGCCTAGGCAACAAAGTGAGACTCTGTCTCAAAAAAAAAAAAAAAAAAATTATAAAATATTAAGATTATTATTAAATAATGATAGGAACATATTACAACTCCTTGAATAAAGTAAGAATCTATGAATCCATATTGATACAAATAAATATTTAGGAAATGAACATTGAAATATTTAGGAATAAAAAGGCATCATCCGCAACTTATTTTCAAGTAGTTCAGAAAATAAACTATAAAAAAGCAATTGTGGCAAAATGTTAAGATTTGGGGAAGCTAGGAAAAGGGTATATGGCATTTCCTTTGTACTATGGGAACTTTTCTGAAATCTAAAATGATACCAAAATAAACAGTTGTTTTTAGGAAGGACTGGTGTTAATAATACAGCTACCATTTACAGATTACCTAGTATCAGCAAATATTATGGTAGGCATTTTTCTCACATTATCTTTAATTGTCACAAAAATCTTGCAGAGTAGGTATTATCACCAATCACATGTTTTTAAACAGATAAGAAAATAAAGTTAAAATAACTTAGAACAGAGAACTAATAAGTAACATAGCCGGGGTTTCAAACCAAATCACACTCTAAAGCTTGTATTCTTTCTACAATGTAGTAAATACAGTAGTGGTTTAAATAGAGCTCCATTACTAGGTTCAGATTAGAGGATTGAATCCTCAGTGCTATTTATTAGTCATGTGATGACAGGAAAATCACTTAATTTCCTTTTTGTTTTGGAGATAGTACCTAATGATTAGTATCTATCTCATGAGTTACTAAGAAGGTTAAATAAAATAATGCATGCCAAGCACTTTAGCATAGGACCAAGGTCCATGGTACGAATACAAATGTTTGTTTTCTCCAGTGTACTTCACTATGCCTTTCCTGAAAACAATGCTTTATGCACTGCTGAATTCTAAAGTAGAGATCAGACCTAGTTAATTAACCTTTTTACTGTCATAAAATAGATATTTAAAAATTCATCTAATCTAGAAAATTAAGCATTTCAAAACAACAAATAAATATCCCTTAACTTAAGAAACTAGTTCTATATTATTACAGATAATATCAAATATTACTGTAGTAGATTTTCTACAGCTGCTGTAACAAAAACCAAGTCTACATAAATGGTATAAAAAGACACTTATCAAATCACACTTAAGATTGTTTTCTATTAAAAAGTGAGAATAAAAAGATTAAGGCTGAAAATATTAAGTATGAATTAATTGGAAAAATTAACATAAGTAAAATAGCTAATTCCAGTAATTCTGAAATGTTTTGTGTTTCATATGTCTCTTATATGGGAAGGAAACAGTAAAAATACATTACCATCTAGTGAAAAATCTCATATTTAAGGAGGATGAATTGACTTTAACTATAGTTACAGGGTTAACCTGATCTGTTCATTAAATTTACAAGCAAACAAAACCACCAAAAAATTATTCCTACCTTATTGTCTCTTCTATCAGACGATCTGAGCTATAAATAAAAAGAAAATTCAAATCTGGAATTATTAAATGCACATTTAAAACCTGTACTTAATTTTTCCACATTTATAAACTTTTCAGCCATTTATGATATGGAATGCCTAGAGTTTTGAAAGCATCTGGAGAAAATTCTGTACTCCGAAATAAATTTATCAACATATAGTATAATTTTCATCTTACTTTTATTGGTTAGCTTAAATCTATTTTTTTTCCATAGAGATACCTGATAATTAAAGTCAAAACAGTTTTAATGACAGCATAAAGAAATTAAACTTCTTCTTTAATCTAGATAGCTCAGAGTTGTCACTATCATCTATTCAAAACTTAAGAATTACAACCAACTTGTTGAGACAGGATAGGCAAATACAGTCTTGATGGCTATAAGTAGTAATTATTTACACCTTAAGGTTCCTTCCTCTTTTTGGGAAACAGTTTTTTTTTTTTTTTTTTAACTAAACCAAATCTCAACTTACTAAACTTTAGAAATGAAGAACCTGAATAAAGACACCAAATGTACCTTAGATCTGTAAATTGTTTGCCTTTATGCAACCCACATTGCAAAGAAAGAAACAAAGCCTTTTTAGGGAGAAATTTACAGGTAAAGTTTGATAAAGGGGCAGTTTTACAGCAGAAGTAGGAAAACAAACTTCCAGACATATGTATCCATTTGGCATAGTGGAAGGTACACAGTAGGCACTCAAATAAATACGTGCATTTTTTCCCCCAACTACTTCTTTCCAAAAGAATTTCTAAGTTCATTGTATAAAGTAGTAAGTTGAGGTTTCATTGTAAAGTAGTGGACTAGGAAATCTAAGTTATTGCATGAATTAGGGAACAAAGATGAGCTTTTTTAAAAAGTCATAATACCTTATATAAATCCTATGATTAAGGATTTCAAAAATTACAGAGATGGTGGTGAAAGCCAGACTATATGGCTGTTTAAATGCTGGATCTATCATTTATTAGCTATCTGACATCAGGCAAGTTTCTTTGTACCTCAGTTTTCTCATCTGTATATTAGCAATGATAATAAAACCTATTTGATCAGAGAATTAAAGGGGTTTATAAAGATAGTGACTAGATAGTACCTGGCACATAGTAAGCACTAAGTATTTTTTGCTATCATTATGGTATTCTCAATAACTACATACTTATTCTAAATCTAAGCATAACATTGATATAAACTTCCAGATAAAACCACTACCCTGGTAAAATCTATTGATTAGTAAGTATGCATTTATTCTTTTAACAAATGTGTTTAGAAGTACTCCTGAAAAGTACTGGGTCAGACAGGGGCTACAAAGATAGGGAACTAACCTCTGCAGATTTTATAATGCAGACAGACAAGACACATGCCAACAGGCATCCTGGTAAGGTAGGTACAAGGTCAAAAGAGAAAGTGGTTAACTTGGGCTAATACCTCCTTGCTCAATACAATGGTTTGGTTGACTGTCCTCACTAGGGCCACTCAGCACATCAAAGGACATGAAAATAAGATATTCCCAAATCCTGGCAGTTTAATATGAAAATGAAGAATTCTATTGCCAAGCTCAAAAGCTAGTTTTGTGCTATCAACCTTAATGAATAATTTTTAAAAAAAATCAATGAAATAAGCTACTGAATTACATGCAAAAGAGCAACCAATCTATTAATTTGCTAATTTTGTCAAGAATAATGATAGTTAATACTTATGGAGAGCTTATTATGAGCCATATCCTTTACTATGAACCATGTCCTCTCCTAAATACCTTACTTGTTTTTAACTTCATCCTCACAACAACTCTATGAGATTGATTCCACCATTCTCTTCATTTACAAACAAGGAGATTGAAGCCTATAGAGATTTCTCTGTAGCATGAGTGCTGTTTGATATCACTTTACCCACAGTAGACGTTCTTTCAAAATTGAAGTCAATCCTCTCAAACCTTTGCCACCGCTCAGCTTTTGACTTCCTTACTGAGCTTAATAATTTCTAGCTTTTGATTTAAAGTGAGAGACTTCTGAGTCTTCCTTTACCTTGAATACTTTGAAGCCACTATAAAGTTTTTAATTGGCCTGATTTCAATATTGTTGTGTCTCGGGGAATAGAGAGACACAATTTCAACATTGTTGTGCCAGAGGAAAGGGAAGGGGAGACCGCTGGTAGAGGAAGCCGTCAGAACACACACATTTATCCATTAAGTTGGCTGTCTCATACGCGTGTGGTTTGTGGTGCCCCCAAACAATTACAATAATAACATAGAAAATGACTGATCATGATAACAGGTATACTAATTATGAAAAAGTTTGAAATATTGCCAGAATTACCAAAATGTGACATAGAGACACAAAGTAAGCATACACTGCTGGGAAAATGGTGCTAATAGATTTGCTTGACTCAGTGTTAACAAATCTTCAATTTGTAAAAAACACAGCATCAATGAAGACCAATAAAATGATGTGTGCCTGTACACAGACTTTCTATTATTTCTTACCACTGCATGGAAATCTATAATTAACTCAAAATAAGAAGTTAAAAATTTAAAAACCAAAGTGCTGATCAATGCACCAAATGACAGTAATAAAAACTCAATTCCAAGTTAGACTGAATATAAAGCTACATACCTTTTATTTATTTATTTTTTTTACAGTATACAACTGTGAAGCAGTATTTCAAAACAACAGAAAGCCATTCTGTGGAAATACATTTCTATGTAAATAAACTCAATGAATCTGCCTAGAAAGAATTGTAAAAATACAAAGCCAAGCATTTCACACAGGTCATCAGAAAGTTAGCCAGATAGACTTCATCATTACCATTATCTGCCTTCTATAAGACCTGAAGGTATATAACATTTCTTTTATATCTGTCTCAACCACAAAGGTCAGAACTCAAGTGAACTCAAGTTCACTAATTAGCTTATAAACTAGCCTAACTACTAGACTTCAGTTAGAAAACAGACTCATTATAATTTGTATTCACAGACAATGTTTATGAAGAAGTGGGGTTGAAAAGGTTACTAAGAAACAACTTTCTATGTCATTACACATAAAGAAAATTGTTTTAGGCACACAGATATACCCTTGTTTTATGTACCTTGTTTCCCCGAAAATAAGACAGGGTCTTATATTTATTTTTCCTCAAGAAGATACCTTAGGACTTTTTTTCAGGGAATGTGTTATTTTCCCCTCAAAGCCTCAGCTTGCAGCTTGCACAGGATGGCCAGGACCTGACAGGGGGAGCTGACCTTGATGGTGGAGCTGCCCGCACCTTTCCGATCACCTCTGGGATAGTAGCTGTCACGATGGGGCAGATGAGAAGGGCTGCTCGTCTTCTTTACCGCTCCGTGATGAAATGCATGGGTTCTGCAGATACACTGTGTAGCCACGCCCATCACTAGGTCTTATTTTCCGGGTAGGGCTTATATTTTGCAAATGCTTAGAAATCCTGCTAGGGCTTATTTTATGGGTAGGTCTTATTTTCGGGGTAACACAGTAATGAGTACTTTCCTTAAAAGGCATGCTTTCTGAAAATGATGTTTTGGCCAATTTAAATCATATTTTAAATGTAATAAAACCATTTGGTAATTACATGAATCAATAAGTCTTCTACAACAAACACTTATGCCTCCATTTATTTCCCATTTTTGTATAAAATCAGATTTTCATATAATAGATTTTTTTAAAAGGATAAATTTTCATCAAAATTGGTCATTTTATATATTTGAGATTGACAACTTATCCTCACATTATGGTAATTTTATAGCACTATCAGAACTGTAGTCAAAGAAAACAGTGTTTGCTGGATTCACCTGAAAAAGAAACCAACCTAAAGAAAAATAAAATTATTAATACGATGGTGAATATCCTACCCTACAGAGGAAGGAGGGTTTCCTTCCTTTAAGCCCCCTCAAACATGAGTTATCTTTTATTAAAAGTACTCTAAGGCATATTTCAAAATACAACATATGTGAATACCCAAGGGACAGGCTCACGCAAGTGGATCTTCATTTTATAGGAAGAAGATGCTGGTACTAGCTTAATCATGTATTTGGCACACCATAAAGTTATAGTAAGTCACATGCAGATATTCTATATCCTCAACCCCACTGTTATCCTTAGTTTATATAGTAGCATAAACAGAGGAAAGCCAGTGATTTTTAAATTTCTTTTCAAATTACCCAAAGTCTCCAAGTCTTTACTCATTTGGCTAAGACCACATAAACTGAATAAACAACATTCATTAAAAAGCATCCTGGACAGTGTGGATACAACTTGACAACAGAGCGGCTCCACAAAGATAGCATAATCTAGTAAAAACTGAATTTAAAATTACTTTCCTTTAGGGTATACAACATATAATCAAGTGGAATTATCCTTCTTAAACAAGTACTTCGTAACAGCCCAGAGACATTCATTCCATAAAACCACCTAGAGCCTGTAATTAAAGCAACAAGTTTCTGTTTCTCTCAAGACCAACTTAAACTAGCTGAAAACAATGAGCTAAGTTTCATCAACAATTATTGTACCAAGAAATCACTTAAAGCCATATTTAAATAATTCTCCTTTTATAAAATAATCCATTTCCTCCAACACACACTCCAAATGGCACAAATTTTGCAAGTAAAAATGTGATTTCAAGCATAAAGCAAGTTAAACCAACAAAATATAAGAACTTAGCAAAATCACTTATGATACCTAATTATAATAGAATCCTCTTTTAAAAGAGGTAGGAAAATAAGTAAATAATAAATAAATGAGTAAGGCAAGTATATAAGAAAACAAACAAGCACATGATAAATAAATAAAAATTAAAAATCGATCCCTTCATAAATCATAATAATTGATAAGGTTGTCACCAACCAATCAGATCATTTACATCAAGCATTGTGGTGATAGAGTCTTTTACTTGCAGTTAACCAGAGAGAACCTTAAGGTCTGTGTCTTATTTATTTCTACATAAATATCTCATAAAAAATGTTAACTGAATACAATTAAGCTGCAGCAGGATAC